AGTGGAACTGTCACAATATGAAAGTAATGGGAAAATGTAAGTACACAGTTGTCTTTTGAATTGACATACTGAGGTACTGATTACCTTAAAACAAGTTTGTTTTATTAAGGTCATAATGTGATGAGTAGTGCCCGTACTATACGCTCTCCCTACAAGAGATTCTGGTTACCAAACGCGACTTCAGCAAACAGATTGCTGAGTCGTGAAGTAGTCTCACATTAAGGTTATCTGATCATGTATACCCAATTTACTATCATATTTTGTTTAGAACAGTGAGTTAGTGATTATTCGTATAATTAGATCTTGGTTTGTTCTTCTGCTATAGCATTTAGTATGTTCTTTCTGTTATAGTGTATAATGTGTCTCTCTGTTGTATTGTATCTTCCTCCTTGTTTATATTTATAGTATGTTCTCTATGTTGTCGTGTATTGTATCTACCTCCATGTTTCTCTTTATAGTATGTTCTAGTATCTAGTATGAACTGAACCCCTAAACTATACCTATTATAGTTTACTAGTATGTTTACTTTGAACTGTTACTGAAAAGACTCATTTATCTACTGAGTTATGATTGTACTTTAAAAACGGAGTTTTATAAACTATAAAGTAACATAACTTAAAAAGAGTTTTTGAAATGTTTTGATCACTTATAAAAACATAAGCAATCCCTTGAGAGATGTTTATAACAAACATTTACACAATTATCATTGTGTTCAACTTGTATTCCCCCCCCCCCTCTTAAAAGCATTTAAAACAGTTTAAAAGATTGATTATAGGGGTATGAACTTACCTTATGTGGGTGATTCAAACTAATATGAGCGTAAGGATGAGAAGTTCCACGAATGAAGTCCCGAGACACGAACGAGTCCTAAATGACATATAATGGCATATATTGGCATGAATATAGTGTTTAGAAGCAACCACATGCAAGGAAACACATTTAGGGACTAGGAAACACTTGGACCAAGTGTTAGAATCACATGTGATTCATCTAAGGGGAGTGTACGACCACTAAATGGAGTGTGCGGCCATGGGTGTACGGCCATGGAGTGTACGACCGTATACTCATGGTAACAAGTGCACAAAAGTTTGCTTGGATGATAGGGAAGCTTGTGGGACTATTGCTCATCAAGTGTTGAAGCTAGATTTGCATTTTGGAGGCCCTTTAGGGGTGTTTTGAGGGGTGTACGGCCACACATGGGTGTACGGCCGTACACTCCTTTTGATCTTGAGTTTTGGTCGATTCTAGGATGTTTAACAAGTTTTCCTAACATGTACTAAGCATAGGGAAAGGGTACTTACACTTTGGAAGCTCAAAAGGTTTCACAATCACCAAGAACAAGTGTGTGTTCTTGGTGTTCTTGGTGAAATGGATGAAGATTTGAAGATCTGTTCAAAAGATGATTTCCATGGATGAAATCAAAGGGTGTTACTAGGTTAAGAAGAATAACAACAAATCAAAACGGAAGAAAGGCTTACATTCTTGAAGATCGGGGTGAAAAGCTTGATGATAGTTGAGAGAAAACTCAAGTTCTTGACTTGGAAACTGAAGAAATGACTTAGGAATTGAAGGATATCACTCTTATGGAGGGGGTGTACGGCCAACATGGGTGTACGGCCGTACACTCCCTCTAATGGAGTGTTCGGCTCGATTTCAACGCGAAGAACTTTAGCTAACTCATCCCTAAACCCAATGCTTGAATGTACTGAGCTTAGAACCCTTAAACAGACTCTAAACAATGCTATCTGATAGCAGAAACGGGTCTGACACTCGGTTAGATTGAATGGCTGAACTTACAAGGCAAAGATTTTCGGGTTGTCACACAAAGGGACTCTGGAGATCTATAAAGTTGACAACTTTATGGAATTCCAACACTCCAATAAGTCCCAACATGAAGAATAAGGCTTAGAATCCTAGATCTTTGCACAAAGAACTAAAAATCATGGAACTTGAGGACTTACAAAAGTCCAGAAGATGCACAACAAGAAGATGATAAGAGTTCCTTGCTGAATCTAAGCCTAAATGTCACCTTCTTCTTCTTCTAATACCCAAGAATCAACTCCAAAGGCTCAAAAAGCAAGCTGAAGGTTAGGGTTTGCTTGGAGGCTGAGAGAGTGTGATGGAGGCTGAGGGTGAGCAACCTTAGCCATCACATTCCCTTAAATAGGGGAGTAATAGGGTTTCTCAAATAAACCGCCACCACACTGTGGCTATAGTTCGCCACGATGTGGCGGTCATTTAAAACCCGCGGTTCAAAACGCTCTGCCACGTCGTGATGATGCTTTACCACGCCGTGACCACCCCAATTAAGATTTGTACATAGAAGTTGATTTATACCTGGACCGGATGTGACAGGAACGATCCCAACTTTTGTGATATAATGGATAAAACGTGCAGGGAAGAGATGATAGCGAGGGTGACCGGGATTTGGAGGAGATGAAGACAATCAAGAAGTGTCTTATCCAATTATCCTTACCTATATATGTCAGAAACTTTAAATACTCTTATCCGTGAAAAATTCCAAATACTTTACCCCCATTTTTACTACTTCCATTATATGAAACTCCGACCAAATTCAACCCAATTGAGATCTGTCATTTCGATTACCTCCTTGAGAAAGGTCGGGAACTTGATTTTGATGGTATCAAAAGCAATGGCGATGCATAATCAAATCCATGACAATTATCCTCATATTCAGATAAAATAATATCCATGTTATCATGCCTATTAATCTCTTCATCTTCAAATGAACAACATAATTGAGCAATACATCAAGTTGTGTAGTTACCCAACCTCCTAATAGTTATCAGTTATTTTTTATGCATCTTTGTCTACTTCTCACAAACATTTTTATAGACACTTAATTGGCAATCACCCCATACCTCAACAACCTAAACTCTATCAAATATTAATAAATGAAACACCTTTGTCTACCTTATGTTGCATAATACAATCGACTCCATGGATTATATAGACAAATTTGAAACTATTGTCTAACCAAACCCTTAACAACAACCTAGACCCCATTGAATTCAAATGTCGTTTCCTTCTACACCATCGATGATGACCGTCTCCATCCCTCCTTACCGCAATCGTCAGTTTGTCATCCATGGACATGTCTAAAACCATTTCCTCAAATTTTTAGTGATTAACACCAATTTAAGAAACTTTTTGACTGTCAAGTTCATTGTCTTATCCAACAATGTTATATCGCATGTTCATTGCACATTATTTTTGCGACCTTCGCCTTCTGCTTATGCTCATTCTTAGTCGACCAATATCTTTATAAGTATAAGAAAGTTGGCCTTATAGTTACCCCACAAAATATATCCTTTAGTTTTAGCTAGGGGTGAGCACAATCGAACTCGGAAACCGAAAAACCGACAAAACTGATACCAAAATAGAAACCAACGGTTTGAGTTTGAGTTTAAAAAAAAAAACAAATTATTGGGTTCGGTTTGTGTTTCAGAAAATGTAAAAAGTAAGAAAAACTGCACTGAACCGAATTTTATGAAACGTATGTATTATTTGAATTATATGTATATATTTGTGTTCCATAAGTTATAAACACATATAAAAGCTTGGTACGGTGGTTAAGGCGTTGCGTATTACATATTATACAAGAGGTCGCAAGTTCGAACTGCTCTCCTATATTCTGTTCTCAATTATTTTTCCAATCACTTAAAAACATCCCACATCAGTGATCATGAATTGAAACTCAACAACCAAATCTCATCTCCTCATCGCTTAAAAAAACATCCACATCGCTCATGGATTGAAACCAAGACTACTCTCCTCTCCTATATAAGCGTCATCTTCATCTTTTATATAAGTGATAATTTGAGGTGGTTTAAGAAATGGGTTTGGTTTAAATCATAAAACTGAATCTAGAAACCCGGGTGAAAAACTGATACACCAAACCCACCGCTTTGATTCCAAATTCTTAGAAACTGATGTTTTTCGGTTTGGGTTCGGTTTTAAGTCAAAACCGACATATTCGGTTTTAAGTCAAAACCGACATATACTCACTCCTAATTTTCACAAAAAGTTTAACGAATGTGGTCGCTTCCATTTTAATCATCCCATCTTTTGTCCTCAAAAGAGTTTTTATAATTTGTTCTCATTATTATTAGAATAGTTTCTATTTTAAAAAGAATAAAACAAACACTTTTTTTTAATTAATTATTAAACATCTAAAAAGTTTGTAGACCTAAAATTCACTAGAGAAACTACAGCCAGGGGTTTATCAGTTTTTGCGAACTACCCCTTTCGTTCGAAAATCACCGTACAAGCACAGAGCCACTCGAGAACGTTTGATCTCTCAACTGAACCGAGAACAAAGTGCATATCTGCCATGGCCGAATGTGAAGTAGCAAAAGAAGTGATCAATAAGAGATTTCGAAAAGATGACGCACCTGGAGAAATGAAGCCATGGGAACAGCATTCGGCTGTAATTAGCATCCCTCGCTACGATTACAAAGCCCCAGCTTCCTTCCTCGATCGCTCATTCTCTGGGTTCCTCATTACATGCCCTATAAGTTCGTACCTTGCTCTATATCTTTGTATGTTGCGTGATTATGCGTGTACCTTGTTTATGTATTATGTACTTGCATAAAAAACTGAGACTTGATTAATGGAAATTCGTAAAGAGGAAGACAGACAACGATCAAATTAAAAAAAAAAAAAAACAAAGATTTAGGTGGTCCGTTCAATGTGATGTACTTTCAAGGAGATCCTACAAAGTGAATTAAACGTACCGATGTACTCCTAAACCCTAATTGAAGATTTACGTGGTCTGATCAATGTATCTTCTGAATCCTGATTATAGTGTTTTGAATTTGAATTAATCCTTCAATATGTTATAAAAATCAACAATGTTATTCAAGTTAGGAAATGCCAGAATTTGGTTATAATGGGGCCATTGATTTAATCCTTCAATATGTCCATTTATTCCATGTTTACTATTATATATCTACATGAAGTCAAATTGTACATCTTGGCCCCTTATCACTGATTATCTCTTACTCTCAAAGAATATGTTACTTATCCAAGTGAAGTTACAGAGTTTGAAATATGATCTTTTTTTTTTCAGAAAGGGAGAAAAGTGCCACAAAAGAAGCCATGTCCATCCTCAACAAGGTTTGGTGTCTACTGCAACCATGAATCTGTTAAATGATACATAAATCTCTGTTGATATGTGCTAATAGTGATCACTGATCACCATCTATTTTTTCAGTATCTTGGATCAATAAATACTTGTGGTTCTGAACAAGAGGAAGACCCTCAAAATGTTGTTACAAAAAGAAGGAAAGTAGTTAATGAAACAGAAAAGGAATGCACCAATGATATAGAAAACAAGATTCTTGATGAAAACACTGGTATTTTTCTACATTTTAGTTTAATTTGTATATTAGATCTCAAGTTATGCCAAATAATAGTTAATGAAGACAATATGATTCACATTTGTGGTTTCAGATGCAAATACAGAAAGATCTGATCATCTTTCACTTATTAAGCTGACAAGAAGTGGTTTGCTTTTGCTTACATTTTCACATGACAATTGTCCTGATGTTGTGGCCATTTTGTCAAACATCATGCAATCTTTGGAATCTTCAAGTCTAAAAGCACCACTGTAAGTTGCTTGATGATGTTTTTTCTGTATCAAGTAAACAAGAAACACTCATATGAGGCAAATTTATGAAAAAATTTGTTTTTTTTTTTTTTACTCTTTTGTTGCAGTTGGTGCAATAGGATCTTACCAATCCAAATGACTTGTGTTTTGCATGAGAAAGAGCTTTGCATTCTTGTATCCAAGCTTGTTGCTGATTTCATGAATAATGAAGGAAAGGATCTTAATCGACCTATAAAGGTAATTTTTAACTTAAAACCTATAAAAACTGATGATGTGGCACCGTTTCTTGCCATGTTGTCATCCACATCATCTGCCATATAAGCAAAAACTTAACCACTTATTAAAGGTAGGTTACAAAATGCCTAAATTGGTAAAAGTATTGTAAGTTCATATGCAAGTTTTATGTTTTATAGAAACTAAATTTGCAGCAAGACTTATAAAATAATTCCATAGTTTGCAGTAGGATACAACAGGAGAGGAATTGAGGAGACGGAATTGAAAGGTGGGAATGGAATGCTGGATCGAAGCAAATGCTTTGAGGTTGTAGCTGGTGCTGTTAAAAGTATTGTCTCAGATTCGGTTGTTGATTTGAAATGTCCAGAGGTATGGATTTCAAGTAGGGGTAAAATAGTCATTTTTACAAGTGCTTAACAGATCAAAATTTATAAAAGTCAAATGGAGGGACCAAAACTATGAAAGAACAACCATTTATAGAAAAAGATTTGTTTTTTGTATCTAAACCGAAAAAATTATCATTTTTGCGGTTTACTCTTTTTCTTATATCTTGACCATTGTAAAAGGTTTCTTTTGCAACTTTGGTCCTTGTTTGAGGTTTCTGTAACATTTTTAGTCCTTGTTCCAAGTTAAATGACTATATTTTTGGGATCAAATTAGCAAAAATCAGCTATACTCGGGGACCAAAAGTAGTCATTTTACTTGGAAAAAGGACAAAACGTTAGAACCTCAAATAAGTACCAAAACTGCAAGAAAAAAAACTTTTTGGACTAAAATTGAAAAAATCTGTTATACTCAGGGAGCAAAAGTAGTCATTTTACTTGGAACAATAACCAAAAACGTTACAAGAACCTTAATTAGGAGTTTAGGACCAAAACTGTAAGAAAAAAAAAACTTTTTGGACTGAAATTGCAAAAATCAGGTATACTTAGGGACCAAAAGTAGTCATTTTATTTGGAACAAGGACCAAAAACATTACAAGAACCTCAATAAGGACCAAAACCGCAAGAAAAATAAACCTTTTTGGACTAAAATTGTGAAATTCAGTTATAATCTGGTCCAAAATTGTGAAAATCAGTTATACTGAGGGACCAAAAGTAGACATTTTACTTGGAACAAGGACTAAAAACGTTACAAGAACCTCAAATAAGTACCAAAACTGCAAGATAAAAAAAATTGGACCAAAATTGCAAAAATCAGCTATACTCAGGGACCAAAATTGTAATTTACTGTTGAAATTTGCAGCTCACTGTTCTTGTTGAGCTTCTGCCAATTTCTGGGCTGCCAAAAGGGTCACCTGTCGGTGCTGTATCCGTTCTTCCACGAAAGCTCATTATGGCTAAGCCTCGTCTTTGCATTAAAGCTTTGGTTCATGATGTGAAGTCGAAGGATTAAATGTTTGGAAGAAGATTGATATGGTTTTGTATTTTAGAGTCATTTTAGCAAAAGATGTAATGGGGTTGATCGTTTAGCTATAAATTATATTAATTTGATATACTTTCCTTTTCTTTTTCTCTGTCTATAATCGATGTCGTGATTCAAGAACAAGGCTTTAGAACACCTTCAAACATATAAAAAAAATGTGGTATAAAACATGCCATTATCATATCTCTGGTTGTCTTAACAAAAATGTTACTGAAACGAAATATAAAATTATCTAAATATAAAAACTATCATAGGCGCATCTACTAAGGACTCCGGGTAGCCTGTGTTATCCCTTAAATTTTTAGGCGTAGTGAAAATATTTTAAGAAAATTTTCGGTGCAGTGTAATTTTTTCAGCGTGATACCCTTAAATTTACGTGTACTACCCTTGACATTTTGTTATGCGTAATATATATATATATATATATATATATATATATATATATATATATATATATATATACACACACACACTCAAATCCGAATCGAAAAACGAAACCAAACTAAATAAAGGGAATGGAAACATTGTGAGACCTGACAGACTTGAAAAAGATCAGTTCAAAAAAGACACGACTAGCCAATGACCAGAAAGGATCAGTCCATACACAGACCCAACACCGTCATATGTCCACCTCGCAGTCCATCGACTTTTCATGGCCTGTGGGCGGAAGTCTTAATAATAATGTCCCAGAAAACACTGATCCGTCTCGGGACCGTAGTATATATACATTCAACATAGTATATAACAATCAGACAAAATCGGACCAATCACATTCGTTTCTCTCCTTCTCTTTCTTCTCGCCAACACAGTGATGAGTCTCCGGTGGCGAGCGCTAGGGGGCGGTGTTCCAGGTTGCTTAACGAGTTTGGCGAGCCCACTCCGCTTAGCCTAAAAAACTTCATTGCATAATGAAAAATGTTATATCAAAATTATGTTTGTGAGTACTATTAGTTTGTGACCGCGATAGTTCTTAGGGCCTAGGGGTTAGGGTTGGGTAAAATAAAGAATTTTTTGTAATAATTTTGGCATTCTTTGACTATTTTGACAACTCAACCATTTTTAGTGATTTTGACCTTGGTTGTATAATTTCGCCGCCTAAGCCGATTTTCACCTTTTTTTTTTTAACAGGATTTGACCAATGACGATTTGTATATCGATTCGTTTTGATATGATCGATGTCAACAAGTGACGGTGGATCAACTTTAAATAACGTAAGACCTTCAAATTTATCATATTTAGATTTTTTTTTAATCAAATGGCAGCTTGTTGTTTTATTTAGGAGAATTAGATTCCCACCCTACTATCTTATAGTTTCCTTTTCTAGACAACTTGGGTTATTTCATTTTTTTAGTTTCCATATTTCAGTTTCTATGTTGAGCCTTTACATATATAGGCCAATGCTATATATATAGCCTTGTATGTCTTCTTGAAATCATATTACAATCACGTATATATATTTTGTATATAAAAATTTAATAATTTTCTAATTTTTATTTTTATGTATCTTTCTATTCATATAAAATAATAACATGTAAAGGATATTGGTTCTCTCTTTAATTTATTCTTTTGATTGACATTTGTCTTGATCTAATAACTAGGAACAAAATATAAAAAGATCTTTGATTTCTCGTTTGTATATTGTAGAATTCAAATATCCTTTTACCTTTTGTTAGTGCTTATCTTTCTACTCACATGCTCAAAATTATAAAAGTGGATTAAAATAAAAGATTAATGGATTCGAAATGTCATTATTTTATATGAATAAGAAAATAAATTAGAACATCATTATTTTATATGAATAAGAAAATAAATTAGAACAACATATAGAAGTTCAAACTATCCTACTCCATCAAAACTATTTATCTTCTTTTTGATGTTTTTGTTTGTTTTCTCAAACATATTGTGATGAATGATTAGGTTCTTTCTGCCATATTCATGCTCAAATTTGGATTGGGTGCGTCTCTTCACTTAATATCATAAGAGTAATGAGTATTCTTTTATTATCTTTTTCATGATGAAAGTTGCTGATTGGATTTGAAATGGTTGTTTTTTCTATGTCTTTCTTGTGCATGCGTAGATGAATAGATATTGTTACGTACGTACATGATATGGAATTTAATTAAATGGTGTAGTAGACACTCCACTCTGTTAAACTCTTGTTATTATGCATATTTAATAACTAATTAATCATTGATATTAATAAACGGTTTTGATTTTATTGTTTTTCAAAAAAATATTTTTTTCTCTCTTACTTTTTTCTTATATATATATATATAT